TAGTAGTAATAATATTAGTAGTAATAATAATAATAATAATAGATTCTAATAGTAGTAATAATAATAATAATAAATACAACAATACTAATAATAGTAACAGCAGCATAGCTGTATGCGACTGATAGCAAAGTGTCTCACCGCTACACCACAGACCTCAGTATAAGACTCCTGGAGTCTTTGGTGGTTTTTGGTAGTAAGAGTTTCACGGCACATGCGACACAATTAGGTCGTACAAGTACCGGAGACTGGAGGTGTTGCCAGAGAGTAAAGTGTAGAGAAAAAGAAAAGGAGGTGAGATAAGCACGACAGATGTAGATGTTTGGTAGGAGAGAAGGAGAAAACCATACACTGGAGCACCTGCCAACCACCCACTGGACTTTTGTCTAGGAAAGAACACACAGACAGACAGACACACAGACAGACAGACAGACACACAGACTGACCAGTCTCTCCTGCTCCGAGATAAAGTCCTCTAACTGTGTCATGGCGGCGTCAGCCTCCTTCTCTGCGTCGCTCTGTAGTCGTAGGGACTGGTCCACTTGTTCTATGAGCACCTTCCGCTCCTGTCAGATACACAGATACAGATACAGATACACAGATACATAGATACACACAGATACATAGATACAGATACATAGTTACACAGATACAGATATACAGATACAGATACACAGATACAGATACAGATATACAGATACATAGTTACACAGATACAGATATACAGATACAGATACTCAGATACAGATATACAGATACTCAGATACAGATATACAGATACAGATACACAGATACAGATACACAGATACAGATATACAGATACAGATACACAGATACAGATATACAGATACAGATACACAGATACAGATATACAGATACAGATACAGATATACAGATACAGATATAGATACACAGATACAGATATACACAGATACACATATACAGATACAGATACACAGATACAGATACATAGACACACACAGATATATAGATACAGAAACTGGTCCACTTGTTCTATGAGAACCTTCCGCTCCTGTCAGATACACAGATACACACAGATACATAGATACAGATACAGGGACTGGTCCACTTGCTCTATGAAAACCTTCCGCTCCTGTCAGATACACAGATACATAGACAATACACAGATACATAGATACAGATACAGGGACTGGTCTACTTGTTCTATGAGAACCTTCTGTTCCTGTTGGATACAGATACACAGATACAGATACAGATACACAGATACAGATACAGATACACAGATACAGATATACAGATACACATACAGGGACTGGTCTACTTGTTCTATGAGAACCTTCTGTTCCTGTTGGATACAGATACACAGATACAGATACAGATACACAGATACAGATACAGATACACAGATACAGATATACAGATACACATACAGGGACTGGTCTACTTGTTCTATGAGAACCTTCTGTTCCTGTTGGATACAGATACACAGACATACAGATACAGAAACACATATACAGATACACAGACATACAGATACAGAAACACATATACAGATACACAGACATACAGATACACAGATATACAGATACACAGATAGAGATATACAGATACAGACACAGACACAGATATAGTTTGTGTTGATGATGATGATGATGATGATGATGATGATGATGATGATGATGATGAGGATGATGATGGTGTGATGCTGACGATGCTGATGCTGATGCTGATGCTGATGATGATGATGATGATGGTGGTGGTGTGATGATGATGATGATGATGATGATGATGATGGTGGTGGAGTGATGATGATGATGATGATGATGATGATGATGACGATGATGATGGTGGTGTGATGATGATGATGATGATGATGATGATGATGATGATGATGATGGTGATGATGGTGATGATGGTGGTGTGATGATGATGATGATGATGATGATGATGATGATGACGACGATGACGATGGTGGTGTGATGATGATGATGATGATGATGATGGTGGTTTGATGATGAAGATGATGATGATGGTGATGATGGTGGTGTGATGATGATGATGATGATGGTGGTGTGATGAAGATGATGATGATGGTGTGATGATGATGATGATAATGACGATGATGGTGGTGTGATGATGATGATGATGATGATGGTGGTGTGATGATGACGGTGATTGTGGTGTGATGATGATGATGATGATGATGATGGTGGTGGTGTGATAATGATGATGATGATGATGGTGGTGGTTTGATGATGATGATGATGATGATGATGATGATGATGATGGTGTGATGATGATGATGATGATGATGATGATGATGATGATGATGATGATGATGGTGGTGGTGGTGTGATGATGATGATGACGACGACGATGACGACGACGATGGTAATGTGATGATGATGATGATGATGATGATGATGATGATGACTATGATGACAACGATAACTATGAAGACTATGATCCACAGAACTTACAGCCTCCCACTTGCTCTTGTGTTCCTGGAACTGAGCCTTGAGGGTGGAGACCTTTCTCTTGGTGCCACACACACACACACACACACACACACACACACTGATATACACAGAGACACACACACACACACACACACACACACACACTGACATACACACACACACTGACATACACAGAGACACACACACACACACATACACACACACACAGACACACATACACACACAGACATATACACATACACACACACACACAAAGACACACACACACACACACACACACAGAACTTACAGCCTCCCACTTGCTCTTGTGTTCTTGGAACTGAGCCTTGAGGGTGGAGACCTTTCTCTTGGTGCGGGCGGTGTTCAGCTGGAGTTGTTCCTCCAGTTCTTGGAGGCGGTGTGTGCTCTGTGGGGGGAGAGAGGGGAGGGGGAGAAAGAGAGAGAGGGGGGGGAGACATAGAG